ATTTCTTCAGCCTAAACAAACAGACAAATAACGGCGAAAGCTCATCGGATGTCGTTATTTGGAAATACCCCTGATTGTTACAGTTTAATAATAAAAAAGTATCCCTGAGTGAAAGAAAGCATTTGCGGATTTCGGATTGCGTGGATGATACAATTACTAATTAATCCCTTGTTGTCATCCACATTTTCTGGTATAACCCTACCGTTGTGTATTTGTCGTAATTCACTTGCTGCTCAGTTAATGAATTTATAACATGTATACCTAGTTGTAGCACCACTCAGATTATAAAGGTTCAAATTTGGTCTTTCTTGTACCTGGGGTAATTATTCAATCTAAATCCAGGTTTAAAGTGAGGTGGAATGTGAGTATGTGATATGCACGTGGCAGCCCAGCAAGAGATGTATGGTCAGTTGCTTTACTTTTTTTGTAAATCAACTGATCATTCCCAGACATCAAAGGATCAACAGGAAATACGTTGATTGATTAATTACTATTATCTTGCACAGTGGATATGTCAAAAGTAAGTGTTTACATGTGAAGGTAGGTTTACTAAACCTAGGCAATACACTCATATCATGGCGTGAAGTACAGATGTAAAAACAACATACTTTGTTCAAAGGGTAACCGATAATACACTGACTGGTTGTTCATTGTTATCTAACTCAATGTATGTTTTTAAGAACCGAGGACATTATAAAAATAGTTGTCACGTGGGCTTTCTCAGCTAACTTGGCACCTATGTGAAACAATTGAAACAAACTAAGTGATCAGTTAAAAAACAAACACGGGTTATAATATTCGATACATTTAAATAACGTTTAAAAACGATATATTTAGATATTTTGATATATTTCATATATATTACAAATATTGTTTCCAAATAATTATTATTAAAGTATTTGATTCTCACATAGACATTTGACATCGAATAAGTATTTTTGTACAGCTGCAGACGCAATGGATATTGTTCCTTTATGTTGATATTCCCGGATACATTATAACTTTGGTAGGTTGTAATAATTATATTTGTATTTTGTTTTCATTCATTCGCTGCAGCTTTGAACAGAATCATTCTTGTTCCTTTCCGTTTGGTTGGGAAGTTTTTCGATGCTCGATAGACGTAGTATTTTCTTTTGTAAGCGTGTATATGTTACAGTCAATGTGTAAAATATGATTCACTCAGGCAATTTATTAAACATCTAAATATTTCAGTCATTTTACAAATTGACTGAATAATCCATTCATTTATTTAACCGACTGACTAAAAATGATAAAGACGATCAAAAGAGCTTAAACACATCACAATATATTAATTATGCTAAGAAAAGAAGCCCAACAATACAGAACTGTACTTGGTGATGATATTAAACATAAACAAATATTTGGAATTCGTTATCATATTAATAAAGATGGACATATTTTTCAGTTAATTTGTAAAATAAACTGAATATTTAGGCGTTTAATAAATTTCCTTAGTGAAATATTTTTACATTTTGAATGTTAACATATACACACGGTAAAATAAGCAATGTTCAGATGAAATATTTACTTTGTGTTGCGAGTCAAAATAGTGTACACAAAGATCGCACAATTACCAAGCAAGTGACTTACCAAAACTGCATCACCATTACCGATGCTCCCCACAAATATACCTACATTTCCAAAACTGTATTTCATTTTTGTTGATCAATGTGACCATACGTCCTTCTACTTTCAATAAAAATGCGCTTACGAATGGCGAGCACAGGTCGCGAACAAGTCTAGATTTCTGCTATATCATCCGGGTACTCACTGGGAAAATACAGTTATGCACAGGTAACAACTACTCCCGCGGAATTGCTTTAGATCAGTGCTCCTTTGTACGTTGAAATACTATAGATTGTGAATGCCAAAATGATGTATCAAGTACAAGATACATTGACCGTAGCGCTGGGAGTTTATTCAACAGACCCGTGAAAATAACACTGCTGTATCTTACTATTTATTTTAGATGACGCAGTCAAAGCTCACTTCTACTGGCGGCCATTATCGAACGGCCAGCTAAAACACAACCCCGCGCTTACGTCTACAGGTCTCTTCCTGTAGTACGGTAATTAGTATTCTCTCCCTCAAGTGTATCCTCAATGATATAACCCACCCTCATTAATTACATGCTGCTCTTTTCCAGCCTCACGGCTATGGAGCTGAGATAAAGAGTCCAAGTCATCATAAAGTAATTAGGGTCCAATAAAAACAATGCGCCGCCAAACCTCATACATATTATCACTGAAAGTCGTACTACAGACGTTTAATGTCAAATCACAATAAAAAAGCATTTCAATTGCAATAACATGTTCCAGGACCATGTATTCTCTTAACACCATCGGATTTAGAAGCAATGGTCGTATAAAACAAGACAGATCTATTTAAACAACAGTATTCATGTTATTCCCACAAAATCACATAAAGAAAGGAGACATTAGCAAATGCATGTGTATTATCATTTTTCGTCAGGATAACAAAATTTTCTCTCCTTGTTACCACCTCCAGGTTCAGCTTCAGACGGGTCCTCCTTTGGTCAAAAGTTTGTTCCCCCTCTAATGAGTGTGTCACGCGTTGCACACGAGTGGCGGACGGGGTGCACACCCGTGTGCAACGCGTTGCACACGGGTATCACACGCGTGACCAACCCGATGCACACTGGTTGCGTAACGCGTTGCCCATGCGTGTAAGGGGAATGAACTTCTAGGCAGTAGTGTACCACTTTTCGTTTAAACAATATGTTTTCTTCCAGAAAATGCTAGAAGAAAATAACATGACCTCAGGTTTTATAACCCAAACAAAAATAATAACACAAATAAACCAACATCCACTGAAAATGTGTTGTTGTTTCCCAAGAAGTTGTCTGGTTCCTCGTTGAAGAGAAAACAGTTGTCTAAAATTAGTGAATACTCAACACCAAGAATATTAAATAGTCTGTTATCTATCTGTTGTGGGATTTAAGAACTAACGGTCGACACTACAGCTGCTCTACATCAAATTAAGTAAGACTTATTCTTCATCCCTGTATGATGAAGTTAGTTCAAGTTATTCTATGTTGTACTTCCAAAACTACAATAGAGGTTTGGTGTTTAGGTTTAAAATGATGTTGATGGGGTGTCCTTTCTTAAATATGTGTTATGGGTCCACTTCTTTTCAGAGAAAGCAGACCGCCTCCGTGGTCTAGTGGTGGAGCGTCCGCCCGGAGAGCGGAAGGTACGGGGTTCGATCCCCGGCCGCGTCATAGCAAAAGACGTTAAAAGATGGTACTTGTTGTTACCCTGTCTGGCGCTCGGCATTAAGGGGCTAAAACAAGGACTGGTCGGCTGGGAGTCAGTATACTGTGTCTGAGTGGGGTATTCATGTTAAACTGCGGCATGGTATCTCAGTGGGCTAGCACTATAAATCGGCATCAGTCCGGACCAGTACAAGCAGCCACACACACACACACACACACACACACACACACACACACACACACAAACACACACACGTGCATGCACGTCGCTATATAAGTGCAATAATCTTGGATGCGACGTTAAACCCAAGTTCACCTCACCTCACCTCAGAGAAAGCATTGCAGCAATGGCAGAATTCTTTATGACTAACAAAAAATCCCTTTGCATCTTTTATCTAAACCAACAATATCTTGCTTTGATGATTCATCCAGTCTGATTCAAATTATCCATAACCTAATTTATACCATGGTCATACCAGTATACTGACTATAATAAAACGTCTCGTCACCATAAACAAAAAATCCGTATAAAGTATGTAGTAGTCATATTTATACGATTGCTACAGTAATCGCCCAGATGTAAGATTTCCGGAATAACGACGTTTCACAGTTTGTACTTACTGCAAATGACGTCTTTAAAAAAATAATCCGTTTCGTTGTAAAATGTCAATATTATCTGTGTGATTTCAGAGCTGATATAACAAAGACATATTACATTGAATTTTGTTATATTACAAAATCTGATAGTCATGTTAGTAAATGGCCGAAAGGGTCACTGCCATCATCTATTAACAGGATACAATAATATTTGGCTTTATTAGAACAAATGTGGTCAACTCCAACGGTTTTTGAATCAGTGTATCCGGAAATGTTTTCTGCACTATTCCAAAGGCAAGATCAGGTCTACGAAAGAAAACCTGCAGAGAGCAATCAATGCAATGTGACACTTTTGATATAAATAGCCACACACATATTACAAGAAGACAGAATCCCAATTAAAGTTTACAGCGTAATGATTAAAACCCGTCACATTTGCAATGGAACCAAACAAAGAAAAGTACGCAGACCGAAACAAGCCCAGTGCGCACGCACTGAAAATGTGGCTTTTAATCATTACGATGCAACTTATACAAATTATTGACCGATTAGGTGAATAAACACAGTTGACAAGAAATAGAAGAAATAGTGAAAGAAGATGTCTTATTAGAAGTCTCCGGTCCATATACAAAGAGTTACATAAGGTATGATATATTACAACAACTATATAGATACTAAAAGACATCAAACCAACTGAACGCCAATAAAGTTCAGAAATCCTGTTCTTCTGTTTGTCTTACTGATACCGACGGCCTCCGTGGTCTTGTGGTAGAGCGTCCGCCCGGAGAGCGGAAGGTCCAGGGTTCGATCCCGGGCCGCGTCATACAAAAAGACGTTAAAAGATTGTACTTGTTGTTACCCTGTCTGGCGCTCGGCATTAAGGGGCTAAAACAAGGACTGGTCGGCTCGGAGTCAGTATACTGTGTCTGAGTGGGGTATTCATGTTAAACTGCGGCATGGTATCTCAGTGAGCTAGCGCTATAAATCGGACTAGTCCGGACTAGTACAAGCAGCCACACACACACATACACGTGCATGCACGTCGCTATATAAGTGCAATAATCTTGGACGCGACGTTAAACCGAATTTCACCTCACCTCTTACTGATACCGAAGCACATGCGTTCTATCAGTCCGCCTGTACTCACAAGTTTGTACATGTTAGAGGCCCCTTGGTTTTTCCTTTCATCATTGTGTCCTTTCACCAAGTAGTCCTTGTCCTCTTGAACCAACTTTCCATCACCTACGGCACCCACGCCAGCGACGTTCACCAACACGATCACAACGACGGCTACGTAGATCTTCATGTTTCCTATGTACTCTGTGATGAGACGAATACATCCAAATAATTTTTTATTTTCAACTAGAAATGCGTGGATACAATTTACATATGAACATATTACATATCAGATTTGAATGACACTGTCTAATTGTACTGGAAATCGTTGTCAGAGAAAGTTGTACCAGAGATAACATTTTAGCGATAAATCCTGCAACATGACAGCAAAATATCGGCATTTAATTATAAAAAAGCAGTCTAAGTGAAAAAAATATGAACAAGTATGACTTAAACGCACTAGGTTCAAGTTTCAAATTAACAAAATATAGGACATGTACAACGTCAATTACTCAAAGCCGAAAATCAACATATTTATATAGTTAATTGTTCAAGTAACTGGTTACTGGCCAAACAATGTCTTTCTTGGAATAGGTTCAATATAAAAGTCCTTAAAATTTGGAACTGAAACAACAATGATAATTTTTTGAATTGTAAATGCAATGATTAGGATAAATAAGTCAAAAACACTCATTATAAATGAATTTGACTTATATTTAAAGTATAAAAGTAATGAAATAATTACATGATCTTATATAGTTCAATGTGTAATAATGTCCACGCACCTTAGGTAAATAACGAGACTCCACTGTATACTGACTGCCTGAACACCTGTAGATGAGTCCCCTTTATATACACGGTATTCCTCGAGTTTTTTAAACATATATCCATAAAGCGCAATTGAGGAATTGACCATCCCATACTGGCGATCCGTATTGATTAAACAATTTGTATTAATGGTCTCTATAAATATGCATACTTGATTAATAACTTAGTTTTTTCATATCATATCCATTCATATTATTTTCTCCGGTATATTGCCTTTTTCGCCAATGGAATCTATTTCGCCGGATAATCGAAACTGGTTATGCTTTGGCGTTGACGTTTTATATTTTCAAAGAGGTCTAATATGTCTACACCGTAATGGCACTGTGTTATAAAAGGTTTTATGACTTGAATTACAGTTTTATGAATATATAGCTTCAGAAAAGTTTCAGGTTGAATACATGGCCTGCTATATTTGTATTTATTGTATTTTTGAGTAGGCATATATATATCGAGGTATATTTTTGTTAAACTATAATTGTTTCTGTTGTTTGGGTGTGGTTGTGGGTAAATGTGCCTATGATGAATGTTCACTGATCCATATTGACCGAACATATATCACAAATGTATGTGTCTCCAATTATTCATAACAAAGTCAATGTAATACATTAAGGAAGATAATATACTGATGTCAACTTCTTTATTATGAGGAACACAACTTTTCGGAGCTAATGCTAACTCCTTCATCAGGTGAATGGATGCTATGAGGCAGAGAGCATATATATGTACATGTAAGAACAACAAAAGTAATAAGATAACAAAAGGTGGAAACTTAACAAGGGAAGCCAACAGATAATCGGTGCTGATAGGTGATTGGCAATTGACAATGGAAGCCAACACTTTACAGTTATTAGCGATGTAATGCCTCATAGCATCAATTCACCGGGTTAAGGAGTAGGCATATACTATGTGTATAATTTCTTAATGCCTTTCAAAGACTTGAATGTAACAGATTGTAAAAAAAACCCATCAAAACGGAGTCTATGAGCTACAGGAGCGCTGTAGTTTTACCAGGAGGAAGCCTTCCAACACCGTTGGCCCAAGTGTGTTAACCTCGAGCTCGGAGGGGATTTTGTTGAACATAATTAGCAACCAACTCAATCAACGCAGTCCATCATAGTTTTATCTGATTTCAGTTACATTTTCGCGTGTAAGACCAATGAGAGAGAAAAACCTGAAGTGACGCAGATTGTAGATGTTTACTACTTTGAAATAAATAATAAAGACATGAATAAATAACACACGGGTAGGGTGCTGACAGACCAAGGGTACGGCTTTAAACGACGATCAGCGCTTAATGGCGCGCGTTAAACCCCTGGGTAAGTCACGTCCAAATCTGGCCTGAGACTGTTGCCTGTATATCGTCATCCAAGTACTTATTTATCGATAAAGATAATTTGATGAGAAAATATTTCCAATACTTCATTCTCTCTAGTCATGCCTTTCATGTCAGGAAATATATGCTGCTTCTTGACGTACAACTAACACTGGGAACCGTCGTGCATTTTGCCCCGGAACACAAACACTGTATTTATCAAAATCACAAATTATCCCTATGATATATTTACAAGGGAATGTAAACAAGGGTTGACCAATCGTTTAAAGTGGCGCAGTTCGCTGTGCCCACTTGCGTCCCCAAGGCGTGCCAGAGATTTGCTGATGAAACACTTGTGCCGACGTCGATGATACTCCATCATTACAGCCATACTTTCGAATCGATATATTAATGTAAGCTTCTGCACTGAGAATACAAAAAGGGACGTATACAATTTTAAGTTTGTAGAGCGATCATGAAACTCCTCTTTAGAATGGAGTGAGTGAGTGAGTGAGCTTGGTGTACGCCGCTTTTAACAGTATTCCAGTTATACGCGGCGTGTCAGCTTAATGTGGGAGGAGAACCCGAAGTGATGCAGGTCTCAGACGTTTACCACTTCGGTGAAACCCACGAGCACGGGTATGGTGTTGACAAACCTAGAAACATAATCGGGGCGAACCGGGATTCGAACCCACAATCATAGTTTTCTGGCGTGCCCAAGGGACACAACTCTGCACAGCGAATCGCGGCGCCTTAGACGACTGGGCCACCTGCGCCTGTTTAGAATGGAATATGACCTGATCCCATAATGTTGATGCCTTGATCAAGGAAATAGTTTTGTTTATCATATAATGGGTAGGTTTCTCGGCAGGATAAAGCCAACGGATAAAAACGACATCCGTTGGGGTCATATGCGGATAGAGATGCAAATATCAAAAGGTCAAGTAGGGACTACTTTTTGTGTTTATAAACAAACATGGCTTCGCCCTTGTCATTCGGCAATCGAGTCAGAATTAACCATCGGGAATCTGGATAAACTACAGAGATAATTGCTATCATAAGCAAAAGAACAGTCTAATATACTTAAAATCAGTGTCTAACTGTGACGTCGCTAAGGCATTTTATAAGTTTTGGCAACTTTGGAGATATAAATTTCGAAACGATTTTGCGAGGGCACTAGCCCTAGCCATGCGGGATCAGTAGCCATATCTGTGCTTGTAGACCTCTGCGGCTTGAAACCTTTTCCACAAATTAAAAAACAGTTGGATTTGGCCGAAATATATTTGAATTGTTACCTTGTTTCGTTTTGTCGCTGTGTGTACATCTGATTGCACTTCTAACGTTTTGACAGGACAGGCCGACTGTCAACAACGTCTGATCGTGGCCATGACGTCTCATAGACTAGGGTTAGAGTAGCTTCCCTTTGACAAGGGGCAGTTACTCCAGCGGACAGACCGATGGATTGCCGCGAAATGCAAGTAAATTTTGTTGTTGTTATGCGGATATTTTGCTTCGCCACTGTAAAAGAAACAGATTTCAGTTGGAACTATATTGGCTTCTGTCACTGTCCGATTGACACATCACTTACCCTGTGACGTAATAAATATTAATGTGCGCATTCCAGGAAAACTCGCAATGTTTAGGTAATTGTTTGTGAGGGAGGGAAAGCGATTTTCAAACACAAAATTAAAGAATGACATTATATGATAAAGAGGTTATCACGCTTGTGTGTTTGGGGATGGTAAATATCCTGTATTAGGAATAAACACTATGTATTTAGCTCGCCAAGGCTCGCTAAACACAATGTTTATTCCTAATACAGGATATTTACCATCCCCAAACACACTCGCGTGATAACCTCTATGTATCATAGAGCACCATACGATCTATACTATGCATTTGTATTGCTACACTTGTAGGAAAGGGGGGATAGGGTGGCCCAGTTGTCTAAGGCGCCGCGATTCGCTGTGCAGAGTTGCGTCCCTTGGGCATGCCAGAAACTTATGATTGTGGGTTGGAATCCCGGTTCGCCCCGATGATGTTTCTAAGTTTGTCAACACCATACCCGTGCTCGTGGGTTTCACCGAAGTGGTAAACGTCCGAGACCTGCATCACTTCGGGCTTCCCTTCCACATTAAGCTGACACGCTGTGATATTAACTGGAATACTGTTAAAAGCGGCGTTAAACCCAACTCACTCACTCACTTGTAGGAAAGGGATCACGTATCCCAAGCCTAGGGGGATGCACGCTACGCCATGGCCCTTCACCTGATACAATTATGTTTAGTGTAAGTGTTCTTGTGTTACTAGCCAATCATTTGTAACAAATTCCAAATAAAGAAGTGGTTACCTCACGACATGTCTTCAAACAGTGTCAATTTACGATAGGAAGTCATAGGATTGAGAAACTGTATGTAGTTACCTCATTTTATTTATCGTGAACCTATACTTTTCGACACTTCAGTACGTGGTTGTACGACATCGACCTGCACTGACCTTTGTGTTGCGATTGGCTTCGTTTAGAGATCATAAACCAGACACAACAATGCTGAACAATTGGTTCCAATTGGACTGTACGTATACAGCGATGTTAGATGTATCAGGAAATGTACTAGATATACATGTGTCTAGGGGAATTGTTCACTGCTTTGTGACTTGCTTATATGCGCTTCTCAAAACTATTTATTCGGCTGATGCCAACTTCGAGATAAAGGTACAACATTCTACAGCAAAGTCAAAGTTGTGACTGAGTCGAATGTTCGAGATAGCGTTATGTTTTTATATATCGAATGAGGAGAAAAGCAGGCACATTTGTATGTGTTTATATAGTGAAGCGGTTGGGACCTATTAATAGATTCGAGGTGACGGGGTAACAATTTCTAAACTAATATTTTTATTTCTGATAGTTTGTTTTATTAATGTAATTCTATTTTCTTTTGAGGAAGGCCTTCTGGTATAAACATATCTTCGGACATTTTCATACTCCAAAGTTATTTCTCGTATTGTCGGTTACATGTATTATTTGTAGGAAAGCTTTTTGAAGTAATTGTTCTCCATACACAGATATTGCTTCTTGGATTACTGTATTGATTTTCTTGATGATCTAATCAGCAAACACTGAATGAAGCAAAAAGCACTCATTTTGGAGTTATTATTGTACTTTATGGGATTCTGTGTAATCACATACAGTCAATGAAAAATACACACACATAGGGGACGCATGAACTGTGAGATATTTATGTAGGAAGCAGCCAAACAGCATAGGAAATGCACTGACTCATGTGGAAGCGTTGATAGATGATGTTAGTCACGTAAACCTGTGTCAATCATGCGTGTGTCATTGAGTGTCGTACTAGTTATGGCGAGCGTCTACCCATTAAGTGTCCTATTGCTTGGAGTGACTTTTACTGTCCTTACGTCAATAACTTCTTCTAGAGGTAAGTATCACGTTTGATCCATATACAGTGAGTACACTGTAGATTATTATTCATTATAGTTACATATTTTTTATAATTTGAGGTTTACACGATATACGGCATTTCCATTGAAAGGGAGGACGGTCATATGACCCTGAAACTGACGTTCATAGGCTTATGAACAACACAATTTGACGTCCATCGTTGTTCACGAAACAGTAGTCTTCAAATGACGTAAACACTGACGAACTACTGGGAATTCATAAAAGCGTTGTTTCTGATCATGTAGACCCTTTAATCTTGACCACAGCGTTTCAGCATACATCGAGAAACGTTGACGAATATCCTAGCTACGACCTTTCCCAGTGAACAAAACGTAAAAATACACATCCTCTAGGTCCTGTTGCAGGATAGACTCGATCTGTGTCTGGACTGACTGTTACAGTCTACAGCAATCTATGAATTTACGTTGGTATCTATTTGACACATCTTAATAATCACCTTTTAATGATCGGCCAACTGATCAATGATGACTAAAACATGTAACCGCCACAGGTTCATTAACTTCGGAAATTTCTCCCGTCACAGTTATCGTGTCGGCCATTTTGACGTCTCGTACTTGACGTGAATGTATTACGACGCGCTGTCATTGTGACTGACTTAACAGACGTTTCTCACCAAATGATGATATTATTTGAATACGTTTCTTGTAAACAAGCTGCCACAGATGTTCCTGTAAGGCAAATTGTGCATACAAACGCACATGTCACCTCTCTTTATCTTTTGGGGTTTTGGAGAACTATTTTTCTCCGCGATACAGCTGGTTGTTGTATGTCTATCAGTGAAAGCATGAAGTCACACGTATAAATCTAGCGCTACATCCCTGGAGGTATAAAACAGTGAAACCAAAAACTATACTACAAAACCAAGGCACCTTAACGTTATGAGGATTTGTAGCTATTACTAGAACCTTCATATTACAACAGCTATTCACGGCCAGTATAAAGGTACACGGAATGACATTTATTAGAAGCCTCCGATAGATCAAATAGCCATCCGGATACCACTTTGCGTTTAGTTTATTTTGTACAATGATTTGGACAAATTCGGCGGCACTGAAACCTATAGTTACTGTACTTTGTACACTGCAAACAAAGATTAAAACACTGAAATGACTGCTTGTTTGTTTCTAAATGTAGCTGCTAATACAGGCCTAGACACCAGAGAATATCGGGTTTGCAATTTTGTCGGTTATTAGTGCATATAATTATCTTTAACTTATTTGAGGATGTTATCATGCAAGATGCTCCTTTTCATTTCAAGATGTGATTATATATTTCATGATGTCTTTGTATTCACTGTCTGTCAACTGGTTCAAAAGAATTGAAAAAAAACCCCGCACACTTATTGTCCATAATTGCCATAATATTGCCAGCATACCATATTCGACGTAATAAGCGCCCCGCTCTAATAAGCGCTCACGGCGATATTTGCTAATATATTGACTAGTGAACAATCCCAATTAGCACCCCTTCGGATTGATCAATGTACACAAGACTTATTTATTCGCGTATAATACGCACTCACGTGTTTAATGCACCCTGAATCATAGGCAATTAAATTCTGGAAAAAATATATATGTCGTATATAACCATTTCAGGCTGTCAACATAAACCACGAAATTTATCTTTCAACCCTGTTGTTCTTCACCAAAAAAATATTCTAATAAGAGCCCCCTATTTCTAATTTTGAGAGCACCCTGGGCGCTTTTTACGTCGAATACGGTATTAGTAAGTGGTAATAAACGAATTCTCACCGTTGTTTCCTCCCGCAGATAATTCTCATAAAATTGTGATATCATTTCGAATACAGCTTGAAGTTATGGTAATTATATGCAAAATAAAGTTTCAGAAGATTTTTAAGCGTGTTCCTAGTATAATGCAAAGGTAGATTTTCGCAGAAATGTTTGTTTGTTTGTTGCTTAACGCCGCACTCGGCAATATTCCATCTATAAGATGGCGGTCTGTAAATAATCGATTCTGGAAGGGACAATCCAGTGATTGACATCATGCGCATCGAGCCACGCAATTGTGATCGATGATATGCATCTACCAAGTCAGCGAGCTTGACCACCCGATCCCGTTAGTCGCCTCTTACGACAAACATAGTCGCCTTTTACGGCGAGAATTGGTAAGTTACAGAACTTGCAACTAATAATTAGAATCAGTCGTGGTGTGGCTATATCTGCTATTATGTGGTGGTCATGTGATGAAAATAGTCCAATATCAAGTGCTGACTGATATATCATGTGTAGTATCATATGACCTTTGACTGTGATAAACATGTAATAAATGGTTTAATTGGTCTCTTTGATGTTAACCTATCATGTTGGCACATGCCTGAATTTTCAAACATTGTTCGCTCAATACAAACAAAAGAGTACTTGTCTCTCATTTCCACGTGGACACAGTTTACGACTTAGTATTTGTTTGTTTGTTGTTTAACACCGCACTCAGCAATATTCCAGCTATAGCGGTCTGTAAATAATCGTGTCTGGACCAGACAATCTAGTGATTGGGATTCGAAGACATGCATCAACCAAGTCAGCAAGCCTGACTATCCGATCCCGTTAGTCGCCTCTTACGACAAACATAGTCACCTTTTACGGCAAGCATGGGTTGCTGAAGACCTATTCTACCCCGTATCTACTCGGGTGTTAGGACTTAGTATAAAACATTGCATCAGGTATCATTCAAACACCAATCTGCCGTCGAACATAACGTCAAATATGGGATAACCACTTGTTAGAGTAAGTGGCTGAATACTGTTTTACGTCGCAATCACCACAAATATGAGAGCTATTAAAATTTCCTATATTCATCGTAAAAAGAAAATACGATTGGGCACATTTAATGATAACCATGGCATTTAAAAACGCCCCTGCAATAAAAAATATGAAGGGTTGACTAAAACCAAATAGAAAGTGCTATGTTGTGGGGGTTACAAAACAGACGCGTACGTCATAATATGTTTTACCCACCCCACTCCTACGCGTGCCTAACATGTATGATAGGGGGAAGGTTTCACTGAGTAGCTGATAAAGCTAGTGAAGTTGTCGAAGGCTGGGAAATGACCTTTACTCGACGTACGCGTGACGAAGATGAATGAAACATTTGGACTGTAGGCAGTGATATAAAATGAATCATGAGACTTCCACTTTTGTGTGTCAGATAACATCAGTAAAATCACATCTCGCCGGACGCCATCTTACTTTGACACATACAGTGTATTCATTGATCTGGATTCATGAGGCCTGCATTCCCAGTAAACGGTGAAAGTATCTTTGTTATGTGCCTCTCAGACTCAGTAGTGAGTGAGTGAGTGAGTGAGTGAGTGTAGCTTCGTTGAACACTGACAGGTGTGCTTTTAGTGATCATTATAGGAATATCACGGCTGGGTACACCAGAATAGGGCTCACACATTGTCGGGAATCGGACCCGGGTCTTCGGCGTGACGAGCGAACGCTTTAACCACTAAGCTACCCGACCGTCCCCAAGATTCAGTAGTGTTTATTCACAATACTGAGAGGCCATTGGCCAACAGTACATGCTATACAGTAATGGGTGTATATATAATCATAAATGAACATATTTGGAATTTCTTAGGTTCATAGCATGCAATATGTACATTGACAGTTTTTTCGTTTTTGCTACATTGTCGCTTGACAATAATACAAAAATCTATATCCTGGGATAACGGATATACTATTTATCAAGGAATATAAAAATTATCATTAACTCTCTTAAGGAAGCCACATGCCTCATCATCTAATTAGTGACGCGCATAAATGGATTAACGACGCCCCACTGTCCCTGTTAGACAATCAACGTCTCTGCAGTTGGGGACGTCATGGAATGATGATAGTCTGATAAGTTCAATGACGTTGGCGACAGTGACGAAGCTTTTCATTTACATGGGTGAGATGAAAGCATGGAACGTGACATCGATCGATCGGTCTCGTCGTGTATTTTGAATTTATGTTGACATATAAAACTACAGGCCATAGACGTTAGACAATCAGCGTCTCTACAGTTTGGGATTTCATGGAACGATGATAGTCTGATAAGTTCAATGACATTGGCGACAGTGACGAAGCATTTCATTTACATGGGTGAGATGAAACCATGTAACGTGGCATCGATCAATCGGTCTCTTCGTGTGTTTTGAATATGTGTTGACATAAAACTGCAGACCATATACTTTCCTTAGAAATCCATTGTTGAAATAGATTAATTAAATACACAATAACATTTGAAACACATAACCATATCGAAACTGTAACTAAGATGACTAAAACGCCTCACCAAATTCTAAAATACAATAAAATGATTTGAAACGATGTTTTTCACGTAAATGTGACTAAGTATGCGGCCTTAGGATTTTACTCAATTCTAAGCAGTGTGACGTCACATACATGCACTCGTCAGATGCAATATATTACAACGACATAACATGAACAATCAGTTCGTTAATCAGACGTGGGGAGACAAAGGTTCAGGAAGACGATACATCCCCAGACAAATTAAACACCAGGGCCCCGTTCCACAAAGCGATCTTAGGGCTAAGTTGATTGTAACTCACTAAGTACGCGATCTTAAATTTTGGTTACGATCGGCCGCCCGTTCCACAAAGCAATCTTAACTAAGAGAGTTGTAAGTTAAGATCAAAATGCTAAGTTGCTCCGGACCAACTTAGGATCGCTAAAATCGATCTTAAATATTGTACCATAACAACAAAGATGGCGTATGTTGACTTATTATTATATCAGATAACATTCTGACAGTCCACAGCTCACTTACTTGTTAGCGATGTCCTCCCATATGCTGCCTTTCAGCTTATTGGTGACGGTAGAGCTGAATGAGGAATTCAGTGTCGTGTGGTGAACAGCCACCTCATCAACAAGGACAGCGATCTCGCTTGCTGAAAAATTGCTGCGACGAACGTGTTTGACGCCGACAGAGGTCTGCGATTCGGCCATATTTCGACAATGCGTCGTCTGCTAAACATGACCAAGGGAGGCCACTCTTAGGGAAACTTTCGTATCTTCATGGCTGAAGATTCCGATCTTTGTTAAGATCGGCTACTTAAGAACTTGTAAAGTTACAATCGCCCTAAGATAGCTTTGTGGAACGGGCGTAAACTTTAGCTAAGACGATTTTATAATCGACGTAAGTCTCTAAGATTGATTGTAGATACGATCGCTTTGTGGAACGGGACCCAGTCGCCATTATTCACCGAAACAGATTCGATTAGTCGTAAATAGCGGTAAAACGGACTGAAGCACTGAACATCAGAAATGACATCACGTGTTCGCAAAAAGAGGAGATATATCCTGGCTTACCATTAGCATACAATTTGCATAAAAAGTAAATGTTCGTTTTAAGCCTGACGCCGCAGTGGAGGACTCTTGTTTAAGAAAAGAACGATCAGGACCGATCACATTTAGTACTAACCCAACTTCAACTATTTTCAGAGTCCCCAAAGTTAGTGATTCTGGTGGCTGATTTGGGTCGAGATCCTCAACCGGCGTCTTTACATATGATAAATTTACATCACCTGAACTTGTCAACGATTGAAAAACCATTTCTCATCAGTCCGATGGCCATTGAGTTCGATGAAGTGGGTGAACACATCTATTGGACGGATATTACCATGAAACAAGTGAGACGGGCTGATGTCGATGGCGGAAAGGCTCAAGTCATATCACAACTACATGCAAGTAAGTTCATCTTATGACATATAACACTATACCACTTTGAAATGATTTATTCTTCAACGCGAATGATTAGTAAACACTGAAAAAAAAATTGGTTTGGATTTCGAATTTCATAATTGTCATAAGAATCCGATGATCACACTCGTCGACTTGGTTGATTGTAACATCGATATCGTGGGACGTTGAAATGTATCAACAACTGGTTGCCTGGTTGAGATTCAAATATTTACAAGCCGAAATAATACAGAGAAAATATTGCTGACAGGGGCGTAAAATATCAAACAAAACATAATTTTTTAAATTAAAATTCACGTGAATCTTTGTTTCCACTTAAATTAGAGGGATTAGGAGACCCACTATAAAGTTCGCGAAAGTGTAGTTTTAGAACAATGTTGTGACCGTTACTTAAAACAAACCACTCTCGTAATCCAAAATGTTTACCTTGAGTAAATGAAGCAAGGAAGGTTATATCAGCTACTGTAGTGCTAGAGTTGTATATGTCCTTACAATAGAGAACGGATTCTATATGCGCCAGGGATGTAAATACAGTTGACCAATTGCAAAATGCACGTCAAATTGTGAAAAAATGTATTGCCTTACATTCGAGGGGTGGTTGAAAAGTTCCAAGCCTAACTAACAGGGGGCACGGGTGGCCCAGTCGTCTAAGGCGCCGCGATTCGCTGTGCAGAGTTGCGTCCCTTGGGCACGCCAGAAACCTATGACTGTGGGTTCGAATCCCGGTTCGCCCCGATTATGTTTCTAGGTTTGTCAGCACCATACCCGTGCTCGTGGGTTTCACCGAAGTGATAAAAGTCTGAAACCTGCATCACTTCGGGCTTTCCTCCCACATTAAGCTGACACGCCGTGATATAACTGGAATACTGTTAAAAGCGGCGTTAAACCCAACTCACTCACGCCAAGCCTAACTATGACGGACTGCGTTGATCGAGTTGGCTGCTAATTCTTTTTCAACATAATCCCCTCTGAGGTCCACACACTTTTGCTAACGATGCTGGAGTGCTTCCTTCTGCTGGTGTAAAATGTCATCCACATCAGAAATGACGCCAACATCATTTCCATAATGCTCACATTCAAAGCAATGGCCATGAATGCCAAAGCCATGGCGACAGCAGACTTGTGCATAAATGACAACAAAGTTTTTGTGAATATTCCACGACATTTAGCCTTAATAGTCACACGAAGTTGCCGAAGCGGATTAGCATAATATTACTATCCCACAGAGCCGAAACCATCATTTTGCCAGCTGATGGAGCAGACGTTGTGTTCTTCGACGAGAGGAAGTATAAGTTTCCAAAGCTTTGATACTTATTTTGTCTCTGGCTGATAGTGATTAATCCAATATTCATCCATGGATACAAATCGCACAACAAATTCAACTGGGTCTGCTTCAAAGACGACCTAAAATGTTACATAAGATGGTGAACCTGGAGCGTTTCTGATCAGGAATCAGAAGCCCTGGGACCCAGCGTGCTGAAACCTTTGTCGTGCCCAATTCATTCCGCAGAATGTTCCTAACTCTCTCATGAGAGATACCTACTGTATTGGCTATGTGACATGTGGTCATGCATAATAATATAATGTATTTTATTAACATTGTCCTTGTAGTGTCAGCTCCTGATCTTGGATACTCTTCTCATAACAGTGGCAAAGACGGACGGAACACACTACATCTAAAGTTGATACCTTGTCAACAAAGATACTTGTCCCTTTTACTTTGAGATACATGCCAGCAGCGACACATACCTAGCAGACATACAAGCTGTTTAAGTGTGTACTGTAAATCCTACGTCATGAGGCAATCCGGTTCAGAAATACCTCATATACGTCAATGACGTTATGCTAACTTTCCCGTGTACTGGAAAAGTACGTATACCTCACAATCATGGCAACAGACAGTCTCCGTCCAATCTCTGCAGTCCCTGCAATTAATTTATTTCAATGAGAATACGGTTTGATGTACCCTCTTAATGGCGACCGTGTACCTCTCGTCTGTCTCCTCGGCCTAACAAAGGCTACATCAAAACGTACAGAGCGGCCATGTGTGTTTGGAAGATAACAATGTAAAATCGAATCCATCAAACGTTAACGGAGAAGTCTGTGTATGTTCCGGTTACGTCACTATAGCATGCACGACAATCGTAATGTGTACCGCATGAGTCCACCCATTGACCGTAATGACCCCTGTCCAAGGAACTAAGGAGCCTGCGGATGATACATTGTGCAATTGCATAATTTCCAATGGCATCCATTTACTTTTACTTTTGATTTTGATATAATGATTATTTTTGTGTACGAACTGTTGACAGCATCGTCGCCTAAAGGGTTAACAGTTGACAGCGGTACCAGACATATGTTCTACACAGATGATGGTGCAGATAGCATAGTCAAGGTTCAAATGAACACTTTAGTGACTGCGACAATTATTGATACTGGTCTACATAAACCACGAGGGATTGTTGCTGATACCAGATACAGGTATTTAGTATACCGATTATAGCACCACTACGTTTACATCTTGAAACAATTATTATCTTGATAAAAACCTTGAAACATTATAAATAAAGTTATGGATCTTAACAAAGCTTATGATTACGTAGTATGTTTTAAAAGATAAGTTTCTTCGTTTGAAGAAAGTAATGAAAAGTAAAACTAACGCCTTCCTCAGACATGAATTTGAATCTTCTTATTTGTTGTGGTTTTGATTCAGATGATTCTAATTTTTGTATGAAGACGTTAATAACGACACACGGGGTAAATTCGTGTTGATATTCTGCAGGCGATTGTACTGGGTTGACAGAGGAAACGCTTCCAAGATAGAGACCTCCGACTATATGGGAGATCTGAGGAAAACACTTGTCTCGTCTGACCTTCATTTTCCAAATGATATTACACTGGATGAAAACGGTGAGTATGATTTAATAAAAAAAATGCTACCATGGTACTACGCATTTTGAGTCATTCGAACACATGAAGTAACAGTCATGATCATTGTCGAATGGTAATTTGAACACTACGTGATAATATCGTACAAATTATCATTCTGAGAAAAGGTTTTTGTGCAGAAAGTGTAGTGAACCAATCTTGAAAGTTAAATTTATCATTATTCATGATTTATACACTAGTGTTCTAAATGGTAACGACATTAAATACTAGTATATGTAGGTTCGAATCCCAGATTCGCCCAAATGAAGATAATGATCAGTCTGCCAGCACCATACCAGTTTGTTTCACCTAAGTTGGAAAATACCGTTACGTCTACGACGTGCGTTCCTTTTGGCTGTCCTTCAACAATCAACATCAACGTCCAGTCATGCAACTTACTCACTCTGTTCTAATTCCTCCTGAAGCTGGCCGACTGTACTGGACGGACACTGCTGGTTACATTGGATCTATTCTTGTGGATGGCTCAGACAGGAAGACAGTACTAAGCCAGGGCGGAACTAACTTCTTCTTCATATCCTTTTACAACGAGCTGCTCTACTACACGGTGTTTGGAAATGAGTGAGATTTTAGTTGGATTCTTATGAACTTCATATTCCCTAAAGCCTAAAATTATGTGAGAATGAAATATGTCAGCCATTTAAACACGGCGGAGGATGTTCATACCAAAATGTCTGAGATGATATGATGATATGATGACATTTCTGTTATACAGCACAATTAACATCATAAGTGCAGATGGCATTTATTGGGCGCCGTTGAAAGCAAGTACCATTCAATCTTGTGCTGGAATTCACGTTTTTTCCCCGAGCTACAATAATTCAGGTACCCAAATAGCGGTTTTGTAATTTTAAGGATAAAGTTTTTGTTGTTTTAAAATATGCTTTAAGCTTTCATATACACAAAGATGTGGGAGTTCTCAGACGCTCACAATGAATGATTCGACCAAATTCAACAGGGACACGGGTGGCCCAGTCGTCTCAATTCGCTATGTAGGGCAATGTCCAATAGTCATACCAGAATCCTACGATTGTGGGTTCGAATCCCATATTTATAGTTTGTTTGCACAGTACTGCATCACTTTAGGCTTTCCTCCCCTATGCGGATATACAATGTAGCGGTGATAAAACTGAAAAGCTGCTCAACTCATTCATTCGTTACCAATACTATGGATATTTTCAATCTAAAAAAAATCAATTTAAAAATTGGAATAAGTAATTTTTGACAGCTCCTTGCCCGGATGGTCAGTACGGGAACACGTGTGATCCCTGTGGACACTGTGCCTACATATGTGAAAAGACAACCGGCCTGTGCTATGGAGGATGTTCACCTGGCTATACGGGAGACAAGTGCACGGCAGGTTTGTTTCAGCCTCTTTTCAATCCTGTCAAAATGTTGCATAGAAATGTTCTAAAAGGTATGTGCATGTCTGTATGCTAGACATTATTCTCGATTATATTTTTTTCTTCAAATTAAATTTAGTTTGTACCCCGGGAACCTTTGGTGATGAGTGTGGCTCTGTGTGTTTTCACTGCAACACCGGAAGTGTGTGTGACCCAGTGACTGGGCAATGCCCGGATGGATGTCAGCCGGGATGGAGGGGATCTCACTGCCACATAGGTACGTTTATGAGGGAGCTTCTGCATTAAAACTACCACGGCTTCAATACGTTAATGAAATAAGTACATACTTGTCTTCGCAATCGACTGCAGAAAAGTATTTTTTATCGTTTAATAAGACGACATAAATCAATGAACGAACATATATTCACTGGTGGCATCAAAACGCCTTATGATTCATGCATAAGTTTGATATCTTCTTCACACGTATCAACACACACTATGTTCTCCATATACATACGGCGCATGCACACCTTGTGGTATGTGTGCTGGTGACGCCCTCTGCACCATGACGACTGGAAGCTGCCGAGCTGGATGCCGAATGGAGGGGTGTCCGATGTGATCGAGGTTAAATTATAAGTAGTTTATAGACACTATCCTGTCATGCGACAACTACACTTGTACGGGTGTAAGATATTAGAGGTCTATGACATAATGTATCAGCTGCATTTACTGCAAAACACTTTAAATCAAAGTTAGGGGGCACGGGTGGTCCAGTCGTCTAAGGCGCCGCAATTCGCTGTGCAGAGTTGCGTCCCTTGGGCATGCTAGAAACCTATGATTGTGGGTTGGAATCCCGGTTCGCACCGATTATGTTTCTAGGTTTGTCAGCACCATACCTGTGCTCGTGGGTTTCACCGAAGTGGTGAACGTCTTAGACCTGCATCACTTCGGGCTTTCCTCACACATTAAGCTGACACGCCGTGATATAACTGGAATAATGTTAAAAGCGGCGTTAAACCCAACTCACTCACTAACTTTAAATCATAGTTAGTTATTTAACGCCATACTCAGCAATAGTCCAAAAACACACTTGTCCTCTACATAATTGAGACCGATCCAGGCAAACAAGTGCTTAATAATAGTAATGACAGACCGCGCCGTCGGGGTATGATGACACGCAATCAGCAGTAACAGCATGACCACCCGATCCATATTTTACCCAACTCTTGCATGGGGTACAAGGTGCGCCGTCTGCCTCAATAATCCAACTGGGACTGGTCACCAGATCAAACGTAGTCGACTCTAATGACTCTTCAAGACACACTGGATATTAACATTGTTAAAGAAGCTATGGGATGATGGGGTAACGTAGTGTTCCAGCGTTGGCCCGTCACGCCTAAGACCTAGGTCGGATTCCCGAGATGGGTACCTCATACAAAGCCGGGATGTTGCCAGAATATGACCCAAAACTCGACTCACCTACCGCTGCCTCGGGATCACATTTAGGCAATACCTGTTTATGGAGGGTATGGAGTCTACCTAGGTTGGGCCTCAACATATAAAAAGTGATGCGACCTCAGCATATTTTTCCCCCCTACATTTAGGGTTCAAACTGTATTGGCGCGAATGGTCAGGTTTAAGAAGATTAAAGTCATGTTCGTGTTAACATACTATACGCAATTGCTCCAAATAGACAATAGACAATGGTGTTTTCTAATGTATACTTATCTTTATATACAGCTTGTGATACGAACACACACGGAGAATTGTGTGTGTTATGTGGCTACTGTGCTGGAGGCGTTTCATGTGACCAGGTGTCAGGCGTCTGTCCTGATGGATGCCAGTATGGATGGATTGGAGACAAATGTGACAGAGGTACGTCAACACTTGAATTTGATAACAATTATAATGTGGTTAGACTAGCATACCTTAGATTAAGATTGACAAACACTCTAAACAAGTGTCTAGCTGGATGCCCATTCAAAAGTGTGGAATTTCCCCAAAAATACAGAAAGAATAGCCATTTATAATTTCATTGAAGACCAGATTATCATCTACGACGTGAATCCAGGGTGTCCTGTCAACACTTATGGAGCATCATGTGCAGCATGTGGTTTCTGTGCTGGGGGTGTCTCCTGTGACAACGTTTCAGGCAATTGTGAGGCTGGATGTCATACTGGGTGGACTGGAGAAAAATGTGACAGATGTAATTCACCACTCGTTTTGTCGGTTAACATAATTATACTCATTGTTTGGAAAAAAACCAGCATGCGAATTCGTACATACACCATTACGGGGGATGTTGATATATTTGTTTTGTTATCCTGAAGCAAATTAATCTTGAAAGGTATTTTCCACATTGCATGCCCAATAATTCACAACTTCGTTACAACATGATACCAATACGGTAATAATCCCAACACACTCTCCCATTACATGTGATATTGACGTAATGAAAATCACTGTTTAGCATGTCAACCAAATACATATGGCACATCCTGTGCTTCATGTGGCCACTGCGCTGGAGGTGCTTTCTGTAACCGGAGCTCCGGACTGTGTCCAACAGGATGTCAAGATGGCTGGACAACATTATTGTGTAACATTAGTAAGTGTAGAAATAAACTTAACTGGTATATATGTAAACTTAATATTATTCATTTTCTAAAACGATATCTCAGATATTAATTACATTTGTGTATCTGTGAAACGTTTGATAAGCTGTGCATAGAATAAAACTACGTCACGTAACGTTTCCTATTGTTGTTATGCCCTACCCAATGTCGTTAAAATCAGACCTCAGTTCTCGCCACCGCTAAACAAAGATCTGAGGACATCCCATTAGGGGTCACGTCAGAACGACCTTGCATCCGACCAATCAGAGCATCGGAATGGGATTTCTAATCATGCAACCTCGAAAACTTTAACTCCGAACGATAGTTACGGATTTAACGACTGAAACCATACAATCTAGACCATCTATTAGCCATTCCAGAATGTTCTTTTGTTCACGTTGTCAAAATATGTTTCGGAGCGTTGTCGCAAATTTGAAATTAGTGCCGTAAAGCACGAGAAAGCTGCCTTCTGATTGGTCGTTCCATTGGTCGATCAAAGTTCGCGCAAGGTCGGTCTGACGTGACCCGTAATGGGATGTCCTCAGATCTTTGTTTAGCTGTAGCGAGAACTAAGATCTGATTTTAATGAGATTGTGCTTTACCGTCCCCATTTGTGGCTTTGGTGTGATGCCCATTCAAAAGTGTGGAATTTACATAAACAAATTCCGTAAGAAAAGCCATTAATAACTTCCTTGAACACCAAATTATCATGTACGACGTGAATTCAGAGTGTCCTGACAACACTTATGGAGCATCATGTGCAGCATGTGGTTTCTGTGCTGGGGGTGTCTCCTGTGACAACGTTTCAGGCAATTGTGAGGCTGGATGTCATACTGGGTGGACTGGAGAAAAATGTGACAGATGTAAGTCACCATTCGTTTTGTCGGTTAACATAATTATACTCATTGTTTTGTAAATAAAGGAAAGGATTCGTACATACACCATTACGGAGGATGTTGATATATTTATTTTGTTATCCTGAAGCAAATTAATCTTGAAAGGTATTTTCCACATTGCATGCCCAATATTTCACAACTTCGTTACAACATGATACCAATACGGTAATAATCCCAAAACACTCTCCCATTACATGTGATATTGACGTAATGAAAATCACTGTTTAGCATGTCAACCAAATACATATGGCACATCCTGTGCTTCATGTGGCCACTGCGCTGGAGGTGCTTTCTGTAACCGGAGCTCCGGACTGTGTCCAACAGGATGTCAAGATGGCTGGACAACATTATTGTGTAACATTAGTAAGTGTAGAAATAAACTTAACTGGTATATATGTAAACTTAATATTATTCATTTTCTAAAACGATATCTCAGATATTAATTACATTTGTGTATCTGTGAAACGTTTGATAAGCTGTGCACAGAATAACACTACGTCACGTAACGTTTCCTATTGTTGTTATGCCCTACCCAATCTCATTAAAATCAGACCTCAGTTCTCGCTACCGCTAAACAAAGATCTGAGGACATCCCATTAGGGGTCACGTCAGAACGACCTTGCATCCGACCAATCAGAGCATCGGAATGGGATTTCTAATCATGCAACCTCGAAAACTTTAACTCCGAACGATAGTTACGGATTTAACGACTGAAACCATACAATCTAGACCATCTATTAGCCATTCCAGAATGTTCTTTTGTTCACGTTGTCAAAATATGTTTCGAAGCGTTGTCGCAAATTTGAAATTAGTGCCGTAAAGCACGAGAAAGCTGCCTTCTGATTGGTCGTTCCATTGGACGATCAAAGTTCGCGCAAGGTCGGTCTGACGTGACCCGTAATGGGATGTCCTCAGATCTTTGTTTAGCTGTAGCGAGAACTAAGATCTGATTTTAATGTGATTGTGCTTTACCTTTCCCAACTGTGGATTGGTGTGAAGGTAGCAGAATCAACAATATAACTTGAAAGCATGGCCATGATTATTGGAGCATATACCGACATGAACTGCAGGGCACAAGAAAGTATACACCCATGAAACAAACAAAGATGGTGATTCGATGGTGATGTGTTTGATACCGATAACATAGTTGTTTTTTGGAACTTAAGTGTGCAGTGTTTCGGCGACACTGTCAGCCTGGTAACATTTTGATAACGTTTTGATTATTCCAATTTTTTTAAGAGTATTCTTTCTTTTGCTCGGCAGTTTATGTCATAAGCATTGGTTTATGAATCACTTTCAAATGGTGACAACCAGGTGTTCTCGAAAATGCATTGACGTTGACTCAGTTGACTCATTTTGATAACGCTTGTATCCATCAAATTCAATTGTCAAGTGAATACTATTATTTTGCTCGGCAGTTAATTAATATAATGTGTCTTTGATCACAAGAGGTTTAAATATGAGTGAATTGGGTGTATCTCACTTCAGAAAAACATTGTCGTGTAACATGTAATATTAGTGAGTGTGGAAATACACTTGATTGATGTATACTAGTATTCAATATGTACGACCCAAAGCAATATCTCACATATGGATGGTTGCATGTGTGTCTATCTATGCACCGTTTGTTGATTATGATCAACTACAACCTACAGAGTTTTATTGTAAAACTTCTATGGAAGGAATCAGTGAAAGCCCAACAATGATACAAAATAACAGACTGTTATTGTCTTTGCCTTTGTCGTGTGCAACCAGTGGGGCAGGGACCGCTCAGCTTTTCGCGAACACCTGGTATCATCAATATTTGATAGTGATTCCTAAACAGATGCACATGATATAGTCGGATCGTACAATGGACTCTGCTTTCCGCAGACATCTTTACGACATATGGAAAGGGTGTTATTGACAGAGTTATTTTTCAGAAACCGTCGGAGCAACTGCGGAAAACCAGACTTCCATTGACAATGCTGATGGAATTCCACCTACTGGTAATGCTGATGATATGGTGTCACCCATACTGGCACTGTAGTTTACTACGAATACTTACATTAAACAATCGCAAGCGAAGGTATTATTGAAAACGATAATTCTGAAACTTTGAGTCCCATTAATCAGGTAAAGTTACAGAGAAGAAAGATCCTTATATAAGGAAAACATTAACATCTGTTTCCGGGTTCATTAAAGTGTCTTGTCCTGATTTATTTCCGAAGATGTCAATTGGCAATATCCCTTATAACTTCCTCAAACTCAGATATGAGGAGTATCCGTCCATGATAAGAGGATGGCACCAAAGGCTGTGAACCTTATCCTCACATTAATTCTCGAAATGATATCCGTAGGTTCTGTCCCTCCTTGGTTCTTTAAATACTATCAGGACAATCAATATGATTATCGTTATCTTGTACGGCTTTAAGACCCACTGAATGTCCTTTTATAAATGGGTTATATACTTTGTAGGTACGTTAATAGGAATCGCTTCAGCTGGAATACTTCTCATCGTCGGTGTTGTAGCCGTGACTGCATGTGTTCTCACGTAAGTTAATTCACAATATGTAGAATGAGTGAGCGTGAACTGCGTTTAACGTCACATTGAACAGTAGTCCAGTTATATCACGGCGTATCAGCTTGGTGTGGGAGGAAAGCCCAAAGAGATGCAAGTCTTAGGCGTTTACCACCTCGTTGAAACCAACGAGCAAAATCATGGCGATTCGAAGATTCGAACCGACGATCACTGGTTTCTCAAACTGCATGACGAGTTGTGGCGCATTAGATGACTGGACCACACATGCCCCTGCGAAATCAGAAGGGAGCGCATACCAAACACTTAAGCTGAATGAATACATTTAAATGAGGTGTGTTTATAATGATTGTATGTTTCATGTACCAGTATCATCAGTTAAGTACTATTGTTGATTTAGAGCCTATTTAAATCCCTTTATTATGTAAATTTAGCAATTGTTACTTCCGTTTTAGGCGATATTGAATATGCAAATCATGTCGTCATAACCATGATCGAATGTATCAATTAATGTAATATTAATTATGGTTCTGTTAACAGCAGGGGCGTTGGGATAGCCTAGTGGTTAAATCGTTCGGTCGTCACCCCGAAGACCGGGGTTCGATTCCCGTCATGTATCCCCCCTCCCCCGCCGTAATATTGCTGGAATATTGCTTAAACTCACTCACTCTGTTAACAGAAAGGGGATAAAGCGCCGGGAAACGACTGATGTCGATACAGATTTCAAGCACAGAAATCACAGCCAGCATGCAACAGTGGAAGATAGTTATACCATGTACACAAAGAATGTGTCCAGTGTTCACATCCTGCAGCAGGACGGGATGTAGGAGGGATGTAGAAAGTGTGTGAGGATGTTACAAGAACGTAATATATTTAGCTGAAATTAAAAACTGAATACTAATATTTAATTTCTATTGACATGAAATGTTTTTTTTGTGTGGTTTCATTCTTGTTACACGTGGTGCTGTTTTATCCAGTGGTAATTTGCTCAGATGCTTCAGTTCCTCAATTTCTGCTGGGCACAAGTATGCTGAAACTTGGAAGAAATGTACAGTAAAATACGTTCATAACGAACACGCTTATAACGAACTGACGGATATTACGAACTTAATTTTTCGTCCCGACCATTTGCTGTATAGATGTTGTATATATGCTTATAACGAAGTACGGTTGTAACGAACTGAAACTAATGGTCCATTTGAGCTCGTTATAACCGTAGATTATACATGAATAAACTGTCATCGAATACACTTACAGGGGCAGCGGGCTGGTGGTGTGCTCGTCACCTTCACTGTTTCGACTCCCCAACATGGGTTAGTTTGTGAAACCCATTTTTAATGTCCCTCTCTGTCATATGTCCAGAACATTGCTGCACTCAGGGTAAGACCAGACTAAGTGTAACGTTCTTATGAGCTTTTCATTAGGAATTTAATAAGAAGCGGAGGGTTATAAATATATGTCGTGAATATTATGTCATGAACAGGCATCTGTGAGACATCCATAAGCGTGGCTCGTGGTTGAAGTTAATGGTTTTCATGGTCCATACTTGATTATTTAAAGGCCGTCTTATACACCTGGAATATTGCTTCAGGGTAAACACCTTACACTCACTCATACAAAGCAAATGTGTTTTGACGTGGTTCTAAACATCCTTCAGAAATAAGGAACTTGACATACATCTACTAAAAGGCAAAGTACTGTTTAAAAATGTATGAATTGATCACTAAAAACAGCTATGACGTCGACACCAGGTGTTCACGAAAAGGGTAATCATATCCCGCTCTACAAGTAGAACCCGCCACTCACACTATTTGCATAAACGCCGCGCAGCAGCACTCTAGTCACACAACGGCGGCCTGAAAGTTATGGAGTCTTGGCCAATCATGTGAACCACATAATCCACCGACACTATAGCGCGTTTACCGAATTTGTTGAAACTAAACATGTTAAAGCTATTATTCGCTAATGTTACAAAAAGCAGACTCAGCAACAAAACCCCATATACAAGTATATTATACATTACATTTAACATGCGTAAATGTGAATTATATCATATGACTGAATTATCTGACGATGAATGCAGGAAACCAGTTTGTCTGCTAAATGAACATTAACTTATCTAAATGAGGAGACAATACAGCCATGACAATGTAGCATTGACTCAAAAGCTCGTACTTTAATCACCATTTTACGACCACTTAGCATCTATGATAAATGTTCAGTTCGTTTATTGCCATTTACTGTTAGTATTGATTTTCAGTTATTTACTAACCACTAACACTTTGTTGTTGTGAATGCAATAGAATGTGTTTTTTAAAATACATGGAGAGAGCAGGTGTGCATAACCATTACTGTACCTTCCTCACAATTTATTTCACGCCATTGGCCAAGTTGTAATAAATGTAATATGTGTAACTCATTATTGACTTTAAAAGGCTCATAATGTGCATTGTGCTTTATTGAATCAAGTCCCGGGAATAATATTAAAGTGATTGTTTAGTCATTGTTACATTAGGGTAGTGTCGTATGGGAGTTTCTATACTCACATATATCATACCGGACGACTAGCAGTACGATCAATATTGTTAATAATCCACACATGGGAACATTGTGGAAAACGTTGGCTTGTCATTTCAAAGCCCGAGGTTCGATTTCAAGCAAGGGTACAAATGCGTGGTCACCATTCCAAACTTCCCTGCCGTGATATGGCTGGAATGTATCTAAACTACTGTATTTATCTGACAATGTGAAACTGATCTTTCACTCGAGTGAACAAAACACTTTATGCCGGAACTGCTTCAGTCGGCCTCAAAGATGACACTATGGTTGGCGAGTAAGACAATAAAACACAGTATGAAAATACTTAATAAATAGAACATTTGTCTCATTTCCTGAAACGACATTCCTGCTCGTGGTCGAGTCCCTAATGGAAATATCAACTCAATCAGGTCACTTGAGATAAACATGTTCGTTGACAAGAAAGGCAAATATCCTATAAATTATATATCATTTGAAAACCATTATTTCTCCGACGAATGTGTGCTTAGATTAAGGACCAAGCAACTATCCATGAGTAGAAAAAGATGCACGGTGATTTATGGTTGGTGGAAGTTGGCTTCCTTTGTTTTCGGTGGAGTGAAGGCTCCTTCGTCTGGGTTTAGAATAGCAGCCTTTCGTTTGTTCATGAAGTCGCAACCAGACACATACTTCACACCACGACCATCACCAGGTCTTTAACAGTGGTATGAAGACAAATACATAATGGACACTAAGTGACACAGCATGTCACTATATAGGGAGAAGGCGTTCAGTTAAGGTCTCGGGATCAAAGATCTCATTTCGCTGGTACGATAGAAGTTTCCAGGGTTAGTTATACGTTTTGTCAAAGTTGACTCGTCGTATTGGATTTACCATCCATTATTCTTGGTGTTTCAGGGACTAACTTCATTATAACGATGATGACATGATTTCCTGTCAGAAAAGACATTTCTGAATAAAGCACAGAAACTCTGTTCGTGTTGTTGATTAACACGAGTCACCAGGAGTCACCACCTTAACAAAGTGTGTCTATATTCACACACGTGAAGATCCGGATAAGAAATGGTCTTCAGCAACCAATGCTTGTCGTCAGAGGTGGTCAGGGTCACTGACTTGGTTGATCCCAATTGCTTAGATCGAAACTCATGATGTCAATCACTGGTCCAGACTTGATTATTTACAGACTGCCGTCATAGAGCTGGATTGTTGTTGAGTGCGGCGTTAAACAATAAACAAATCACATGTGATACTGTTGTTGCTACTGTTGAGAAAATGAGTCGCTCATGACATGTGGTTACCTCCCTTACACCGACAGCTTGGGTAGAAGACCAAATCACGCTTCCAGACAGCTTGTACTGGTAATCCAGTTATGAGCAGTGTATAAGTACATTCTCGTGGAAATGACCTTGTGTTGAAAGGACATGTGTGTAAAAACACCATGTCACGAACACCATCTATGTAAATTTTTGTTACCTTGACGAAATGTCTTGAACGCTTGTACAGCTTCCGCTTCTGTCTCTGTTAAATGAGATATTCCTCTTTTCTTTTGAAAATAGAGCATGTGTCGACTTAATTTAATGTCAGGGTGCAGCTGGTTGTATTTTTTTATGTGAGAAGCACCAAGATCTGTGTGTTCGCATATACACGTTAAGCATTAGATATATGCAGTTACAACTGTAGCAGGGTTCTAAGCCGATATTCTAAGCCAATATTCCAGCAATATCACGTCGGGGGACACCAGAAATGGCCTTCATACAGTGTACCCATGTGGGGAATCGAACCCGGGCCTTCGGCGTGACGAGTGGACGCTTTAACCACTAGGATACCCCACCGCCACTGCATCTAGAGAGGTTTACAAAAATATGGGGTGCAGTTACAGAAGCGTATGCCCTGTACAGTGACGATCCTAGAAGGTTTAGCATTGTCAATCCGATGTGGGGAATCGAACCCGGGCCTTCGGCGTGACGAGTGGACGCTTTAACCACTAGGATACCCCACCGCCACTACAACAAGAGAGATTTACAAAAATATCTTGTGCGGTTACAGTGGATTGTTTCCAGTACAGAGACGATCCTAGAAGGTTTAGAATTTTCAAACCCATGTTGGGAATCGAACCCGGGCCCTCGGCGTGACGAGTGGACACTTTAACCACTAGGCTACCCCACCGCCACTTCAACAAGAGAGATTTACAAAAATTCTTGTGCGGTTACAGTGGATTGTTTCCAGTACAGAGACGTTAGAAGGTTTTAGCATTGTCAACAACCGCTGTAGCTGTATCGGCGAGGCAAGGCATTCCCATCGAACACTTAGTGTCCTCATTGCGTTATGTGGCAGTCACAATCTAGTTCTGTACGGACCGATGCCTGGGTTAACATCTTCATTACAATCTGGAAATCAACAATTGATAGATTAGAGATTCGGAGGTGTATGATATAATGCATTCCCTTCGGATAAGATGTTTCCAATCAATTCAAACATAAGTGTATATGTGTGAGATGAGTTGCTTTAAATATTTGAGTATCGATATTTGACTTCGACGATGAATATATCTTACATTTGTGTGGCGTTAAGAGAATCAATATTTTGCAGAATATATATGGCGACTGTTGTGTAAATCTCCGGGATTGAGAATTCAATGATGAGAGAGGGGGATTCGCCTGAAACACTTCCGTTTGATAGCTCCGAAAAAGCCATTATTCATGGTGTAATGTTTTCTGAACAGGATGCTGTGTTTCTCGATTATCCTCGTTGATGAATAATTAAAAGCAATACATATACAACAATTAACAATTCTTCAAATAATAAGGTTAGGTTGACATATCAGAATAATTGAATTACTTTATCTTATTTTTCACGGTGTTCTGTTCTAACAGTCACAAAAGACTGAACAATCTGGATGTGAGAAGATTATTCAACAGCAAATATTGTTTTGAAATTAATACAACCAGCTACGTGTTTAATATTAAAACGTATACCAGTATTAAAATCAATGACAGTTTTATGCCTGGCACTTGTTAAAGCACAAAATACTTTTAGGCCTGGACCCGCTCACATTACTTAAATAAACACTTCAAACGAGCGTCAAAATGTCTCTTATATACTCCCAACAAAAACTAGGGGATATACGGAAATAAAATTGTAAAAATTGCATTGTTTATTTGTTTGTTTGTTTAACGCCGCACTCTGATATTATATTAATATAATATTCCAGCTATATGACGGCGGTCTGTCAATAATCGAGTCTGGACCAGACAAACCAGTGATTGATATCATGAGCATCGATCCACGCAACTGGGATACGATGACATGCATCAACCAAGTCAGCGAGCCTGACCACCCGATCCAGTCAGTCGCCTCTTACGACAAGCATAGTCGCCTTTTGAGTGAGTGAGTGAGTGAGTTGGGTTTAACGCCGCTTTTAACAGTATTCCAGTTATATCGCGGCGTGTCAGCTTAATGTGGGAGGAAAGCCCGAAGTGATGCAGGTCTCAGATGTTTACCACTTCGGTGAAACCCACGAGGACGGGTATGGTGCTGACAAACCTAGAAACATAATCGGGGCGAACCGGGACTCGAACCCACAAACATAGGTTTCTGGCGTGCCAAAGGGACGCAACTCTGCACAGCGAATCGCGGCGCCTTAGACGACTGGGCCACCCGTGCCCTCGAGGCAAGCATGGGTTGCTGAAGACCCATTCCACCCCGATCACTAAAATTGTAAGAGGTATTAGTTTCTGGTAATAGTTGTATGAATACATTTGGGAACACATGAGTGAATACAACTGGTAGTGAAGTATGACAGTAGATGTTATGACCACCAACGATCTTGAAAGGTGATAGGGGTAAGATGGGAAAGTTCAACGTTGACGTTTTTGGATCAGTAGTGCGCAATACCGCCACGATTTGTCAAACATTAATTCACAAACGAGGCATACTTGTCTCTCTTGCAGCGCCTGACCCTTTCAGCAACTAACGAGGCATACTTGTCTCTTTTGCAGCGCCTGACCCTTTCGGCAACTAACGAGGCATACGTGTCTCTCTTGCAGCGCCTGACCCTTTCAGCAACTAACGAGTTATACGTGTCTCTCTTGCAGCGCCTGACCCTTTCAGCAACTAACGAGGCATACGTGTCTCTCTTGTAGCGCCTGACCCTTTAAGCAACTAACGAGGCATACATGTCTCTCTTGCAGCGCCTGACCCTTTCAGCAACTAACGAGGCATACGTGTCTCTCTTGCAGCGCCTTGCCCTTTAAGCAACTAATGAGGCATACTTGTCTCTCTTGCAGCGCCTGACCCTTTTAGCAACTAACGAGGCATACGTGTCTCTCTTGCAGCGCCTGACCCTTTTAGCAACTAACGAGGCATACGTGTCTCTCTTGCAGCGCCTGGCAACGTTCAGCAACTAACGAGGCATACGTGTCTCTCTTGCAGCGCCTGGCCCTTTCAGCAACTAACGAGGCATTCGTGTCTCTCTTGCAACGCCTGGCAACGTTCAGCAACTAACGAGGCATACGTGTCTCTCTTGCAGCGCCTGGCCCTTTCAGCAACTAACGAGGCATACGTGTCTCTCTTGCAGCGCCTGACCCTTTCAGCAACTAACGAGGCATACGTGTCTCTCTTGCAGCGCCTTGCCCTTTCAGCAACTAACGAGGCATACGTGTCTCTCTTGCAGCGCCTGGCCCTTTCAGCAACTAGCGAGGCATACGTGTCTCTCTTGCAGCGCCTGACCCTTTCAGCAACTAACGAGGCATACGTGTCTCTCTTGCAGCGCCTGACCCTTTCAGCAACTAACGAGGCATTCGTGTCTCTCTTGCAGCGCCTTGCCCTTTAAGCAACTAACGAGGCATACGTGTCTCTCTTGCAGCGCCTGGCCCTTTCAGCAACTAACGAGGCATACGTGTCTCTCTTGCAGCGCCCGACCCTTTCAGCAACTAACGAGGCATACGTGTCTCTCTTGCAGCGCCTGACCCTTTCAGCAACTAACGAGGCATACGTGTCTCTCTTGCAGCGCCTGACCCTTTCAGCAACTAACGAGGCATACGTGTCTCTCTTGAAGCGCCTGACCCTTTCAGCAACTAGCGAGGCATACATGTCTCTCTTGCAGCGCTTGACCCTTTCAGCAACTAACGAGGCATACTTGTCTCTCTTTCAGCGCCTGACCCTTTCAGCAACTAACGAGGCATACGTGTCTCTCTTGCAGCGCCTGGTAACGTTCAGCAACCGTAGTCGGCGTCCGATGACGTTGACGCACACGTCTCCCCATCATGTCCCAAACGCGTTAAATGGGGGAAAGGTCTGTACTTATTGCTGGCCATGGCATTCTGTAGATGCTATGCTGCAGGAGGTGCATTGTCGATTCGAAGACGATGAGCATGGGCGTTGTCGACCTGAAAGACAAAACGTCGACCCACACGCCTTGCAAACGGGACAACAAAGGGTGTCAGCATTGTCATTCAGCTACTTTTCACGTACATATATATTTACAACGTGCATACAGATTTCCATAACTTATAAGCATTAAGAAGTATAATAGTTAAATCATTAAGCTAAAACCTTATCGTCTAATACAATTGTCCTTTGTGACATTGTCCGCCCTTTGTAATTAAGGATTGCTGATTGACACCCCAAGCGACATGCCACCTGTCATGCATGTTAAGTCTCAGCTTCACTGATAAATAAGCGTAAATGTCAATCAATAAAGTCATTTTATTCATGTCCATTCAAATGAAATTGTATAATATGCATCGCTCATATTGACCAAACAGAATGTGGTACGTACCTTTGTAAATGCATTAACGGTCATGCATAAAACTACAGAATTGTACTGGAATAAGAATAGATACCGCCAGGGTGGCAGTCGACTCACAGGACTCGAGACACACGGTCTCGGGACCCCCAGTCACACTCTTAATCGACGGCTACCAGTGTCC